TGCAGAGGCAAGCCAGGCTGAACAGAAGGGAGCTGTGTTTTCAACTCAGTTGGAGACAAAACCGTTGGGGATAGAATTTGTCGATAATAAACCAGAATGAAATGTAAACAAATGCACACCCTAAAAGTTCATGAAACCCCAAACAAACCTATCAAAGAAAAAAAAAAATCCCTTTAGAAGCATTTTTACCTAGTCACTGCCAGATAATTTTAAAGCACTTGTACAGAATGAGCCCTCCATGCAAATTTAAATATACTCATGAAGTTTATACCTCTCATAACACTGTCCATAAGCAAAATCAGACTAAATATAGAGGTGTTCAATCCAAAAGGCATGCTGGCACCAAATTGCATTTTGGTCCCAGAAGAACTTCCCTTGCAGATCTATGTGTCATATGCAATAACTGTATTCGCTTACTGCAAACAAAATCGTAGCCGCTTTAAGTACAATCACACCCCTCTCACTCAGGCCGGCAATTTCCACTGCTCCCATTAAGAATTTATCAGGGTGGTGTTGTATCTAGCAGCAGCCTCTACATGGCATATACAAAAAAAAAACCCAACTAACAACTTTTAAGAGCGAGGTGCAAAATTTGCTATGTGTGTGTTACTGTCCTCTGTCCAGGGACCTTTCAACCCTGAATAGTGGTGTCCTACCAACAAAGGCAGAATCAATCAATGTTTTTCATTAGCTTCAAAACCTTCCGACTGGCATCATGGGGGGGTGGGTGTGTGAACAAGACAGAGAAAAGGAGGACACGTTACTTTGTTGCCTCTCAAATTGCTGCTCAGCTGACAATTTATTTCTAAGCGTATCCATAGTTTCTCTCAAGTATTTGGAAAATCAAGTTTCCCAAGCTTTAATATAAAATAATCTCGCAGTTTTCCAACTCTATACTTGCACTCCAAAACAAAGAGTTGAACGCAGAAGAATGTACATGCAGAGTTCTGTGTTGCAATAGGCCTGAGTAAGAAACAAACACACAAGCATATACCCCTCAGCTTTTCCTTTCAGTCCAGTTCTGCAAGATGCAGTTTGGTTTTCACTAATCTTGATCTGCTGGAGGGCACCTACCCACCTCCTTCAGCTGATTTTCAAGGAGTAGTACAATCTTGACCTCAACTAATGGTAAAGCCAGTGACGTTTTGGGTGGGGTTTTTTTGGGTTTGTTTTTTTTTTTTTTTTTTTTTTTGGGGGGGGGAAGGGGATTGTTTGTTTATTTGGCTTGTTTTGTTTCCCCCCCCCAAAAAAATAGTCTGTGCTTTTCAAAAGCTGCTCTGCACCTCAGAGGATCAGGACTGCTCCAACATGAAACTCAGCACTGCTGTGAAATTAGTAAAACTTAAGTGCTGGAGCATTCTGTGTTATCTGCATATGCAAATGAACGTGCTTAGCACTTCAGTGTTAACAACTTGGCCATTGATATTACATGCTGGAAAAAAGATAGTATTTCAGAGGAAAAAGAAAAGCTGCCTACCCTGGAAAACACTAGGTGAGGTTTTATGGCTGGTTTCCATTACTGCCCTTTTGTGAACCAGAGGACTTTTTTTCCATTAATTGTGTTTATCAACTGTGAGAGGAGGTGGGTGAATCTAAGCACAAGTCAGAGACTTTCTGTGACTTATTTGTCTAGCACGGAAATCTATGTGACAGGGGCTATCAAGTGTCTATAATCACTTCATGTCCTATGTAGTTTGGGAGTCAAAGCAACACCCATATTCCGCCTGCTTTGTGTTAGGCCTGAAGTTACCGAGCGGTAAATTATAACTTCCACATGAATATGACTACATTTTAAACTGGTGGATGTCTTTTCCTACAAAAGATCCCGATTCCAATTTTAAGTCTATTATCCAAATGGGTTACATGAACTTGTGCATGGGATCCCTTTCTGCAAACGTCTGACACTGTGTCGCTGATCTTGGTGCGTCTTATTGCAACAATATCATGGAAGTAAATGGCTTTGGCTCTTTAGTTGCCACCACATACCAAGAGGAACAACTCAAGGTCTCAGCAGAAGCGTAAAGCTTTCTTCTGGTCCTATGGAAATGACTGGTGGCTTTACAACTCTTCAGGGGAAGTTGGTGTCACTATTGGAGCTGCTTTACCTTTCAGACCGTGTTCCGTTTGTCTGTTTCTCAAGGTGAAACTCCAAAACAAAAGCCCTACCTTCTCCCTTTTTGTACCTGTTAAAGCATTTGCTTTTGGAGTCTGCATATGGTAAATAGGATCCCTGCTTTTTGTGCATTTCTGCCTCAGTGGCAGCCAAGTCCCAAGGTAAACTGCATTTCTGGAAAAGTTGTTGCTGTTGTCCTAACAGCTGCGTCACATGAGGGGATGTTACTGAAAAGTCGACCCCCAGAGAAGACTTTAGTGTTTCCTGGTCACTGTTACTTTTGAGAGAAAGAACAAACAACACTAGCTTCATAATTCACTGGCAGAACTAACTGCTGTTTTTTATTTATTAGAGGGTTCCTGATCTCTCTTGCCTAGCCAGCACTTCATATTCACTGAAGACCAGCACAAATTCCGTAAAGACATAATCAGCCATTGCTCAGAAGTGAAGAACATAAAAAAGCTATAAAGATCGAAGAAGATTGTCCACAGCCACAAGTTAAGAGAAAGCTGTTTCTGATCTGTTCACATTCTTATGGTTTCTTCTATGAATGAAGTAATGAAGTTCTTCATTCCAGTGGAAAAAATGTTAAACAGTAGAACTGAGAAAAAAAACATAGGAAGAAGGAATAGGAGTAATTGCTGCAGATAAAGCTGCTGATGAGACCCTCAGAGGTGAGCATGGGTGCTGCCTTGGGCACTGGCACAGTGTTTTTCAACTGCCATGGGTCAATCAAAAGTTGATGAAATACTTCATCTCCAGTCTCTGGTGGCCAAACACAATCTCGCTCCACGCATATGGTGTACATTTTCCCTCCTAGTGCAGATCCTTTGAATATAGCTATCTCCCAACTCATTCACAAAGGTATAATTTTAAAAACAAAACAACAAAACAAAACAACAAGTGACAGGCTAGTTCAGCAACCAATATGTAAACAAGACAGTTGCTGGGTCAGATTCCTGTGCTCAGCCCTACATACCGTTTCCAAAGGCCGTTTACTCTGACACAGAGGGCAGAGAGAAGAGCTTCTTCTCAAAGTGGCAATGTCACTTTAGAGTAAACTATCAGAGACACTGGGACTATATCCATCTCCCGTATCAGTCCTGGGCTGCTGCTGAGACCTTGAATTGTAATAACAAGGCCCTTGTCTTAGCCAGCTTTAGAGACAGCAGATGTATCCCATCAGATAATCCATGAATCACCGTGCAAGGCGTACGCCGTACAGTGTCAATAACCTCACTCTCTTCTCAGCAGGTCGCCAGTAAAGCTCATTACAGGAAGCTGGCTCTGTCCTTCAACAATGTGACAGGTGATTCTCGAGGAAAGGAACTGTTCTCACTTCCTGTAGGACTGGCTGCCTGCAGAAAAACAGCAAGAAAGGGTCTGTCAGCTGAAAGCAGGATTTATTACAAGACAGGAGCTGCCTGAGGGCAACACTTGTTCAACCTGTACAGTGACACAAACACCACAAAGAACATGCACAAAGGCACCTTAACCACTGATGTTGCAACTTAAAAACGAAGAATGTATTTATGGCAACCAAACTTGTGGAGGAGCAGGGAGTCGCCAGTGCGCAGTCACACTCCTGACAAAAATCATTCTTCTTCCAGTAGAGATTTTTGTACAACTCTAGCTCCACTGTGCCCTGGACAGAACTTGGTACACTGCAAACAGCTTGAGCACACCCATGCAGAGGAGCTTGGAACAGATGCAGAGTTAGTAACAGGACAGATGAAACCATTCAACCATGTCCACACGGAGCACGTACGCACAGTTGAAAAACTCCAGATTTGGAGGTCCACCCTATGTGGAGCACGTACGCACAGTTGAACTCCAGATTTGGAGGTCCACCCTATGTTCTAGCCACACCACCAGTGTCATCCCTGTATCAGCTAGGAATCGGAATCCACAGAAAATCCCAGCATGGCTGGTTTTATTCGAAGGAGCTCAGTTTTGCTTTAAGAAACAGCTTTGGAGCCTGGCTAACAGCAGCAGGCTACATCTCAGGGAGGAATTTGGCCCCAGGCCTGTAGCTGCACTAAGTACCTGAGCTTCCTCTGCATTCCTCAGGCATTCCACACACTCCATGCTTCAAGAGGAACGGTCCAGCTAGTTCAGCTAGGTTTATGTAAAAGTAACTTATTTCCGGAAAATACACCTATAATAAATATTAAAAGCAAGCTTAATATGCGTCTCTAAAATAAGTCAGTACATCAAGTTAAGTAAAATCAGAAACTCATCTTTTTCTCATCACGCGCATCAGCTACAAAAACTATAAAAATTTCTCCAGAAATACCAAGAAATCCACAAACTAAAGACAGTCTTGCACTGGGACACAGTCTCTTGATATGTAAAAACCTACATACCTATGCAGCAGGCAAATGGGAGGCAGCAATTGCTAAAAATCTACTGATTGCTGATATCTATGCATCTGATAACATTTTTGACTTACAGGTAAGTCAGCTAGGAACTTAAAGGAACAGTAGCACAGAGCTTTACTAGGGAAACATTAGGGACTCACCTGCTTCTGATGCCTCCCTGCACCTTGAAGTAACAGCTGGGAATTTAATTACCTTTGAGAACCTCAGGTTTGGACATAGGTGCTTAAAACCCTTTTTTCGGTTCTTTAAAAATCTGGTCCTTATCACTTTCCTCTCACTTTTCCCAACCATAAAAACCTGTGTGAAAGGCACTGCAAGATGGACAACAACCAATAGGTGCTCTGTGACAGCAGACAACAACGCAGGATACATATACACAAAGTGAGTGGGAGAAGACTTGCTTGCAAAATAATTTCTTTGTTATTTTTAGCAGGAAGATAAGAGTTTAACACTCAATTGCTGACACCAAGTCTGTCTCACGGCACATGGGGACAGATAGAAAACAATTTCCTGGAACCCCAATAGAAAAGTTGGGAGAAAAGATCAATGCACACATAGTAAGATGTGATGCCCACTATACATTCAGCTTTAGGATGCACAGACACAGCAAAGATAAGAGGTGTATTGTAAGACAAACCCTATCTGATAAAAGTTGTAAGAGCCCAAGAGTCTGGACTTACAAATCACATATACTGAATCAACAGAGAAACCCAAGTGATGCAGAACTCTGATCACGCGCTGCTTTAATGCAATTTCAAAATACAATACATTACACATTGTGCCACTGGAAAAGGAACTTATTCCAGAGCCCTATAAGAGCAACATATGTATGTCACATCTTTCATAGGACACACCCCCCCAGGAGTGTAAAGCTGCCCTGGAGAAACTAGAACATGCGGAGGAGTTTTTACATACACACACACACACACTACGCTTTTCCCGTCTTCAGCAGAGCTTCTCCTTTTCAATGGGCTAGTGCTTTTGTAAATGAACTGAAACAGGAACCAGGGACAGACTCTCGGGTGTTAACACCACATTCGGTCAGAGCAGAACAGCGCTCCTATCATAGGAAACAGAAATCACTGATGTCAGAGGTAAAACACGGGGCATATGCAGCAAAAGTAAAGCCAAAAGAGCTGGCGGTATTAGCTAAGCACGGGACTGTTCAAGCAAGTATTCTCTAGTTGAACTCTAGCTGAGGTCAAAACCTCCCTTAACCACCAAGGACATTCCCTTCCATTGCCTCACCTGTACTCCCTTTATGAAACCACCCCATCTCCCTGCACATGCAACTGTGTGGAATGACAGTGAGTGACCAACACAGAAGACTTAGGAAGCTCTTTCCAGCTCTGTTGCTGATTCACTAGGTCATTTCAATTCTCTGTGTTTCATTTTGTCTACCTGTAATGAGAGTTAATGATATACACATACCTCAAATTTCTTGGGAAGGTTTGCAAGGTATTACGAGTTACCATGTTTTTGTGAAATGTTTAAAGATAACAGTTACAGCTAAAAAGTAGAGCTGATGTTACACTGTGATCAGATAATCATCACTAAACCTCTTACGATATGTTTGGAATCAGAATATAGAGCACATAGCTCCTGCCATTTTCACTGATGGACCCAGAGGTGTATTTGAATCCAGCCAGTCCCATCCACAGTCCAGAGCAAAAGCTTACACATTGCTGAAGACTGCATCTTTCTTCCCTCTACCTCCTCAAAAACCCCCCACAGCTTACAGACCGCACATGTCTTTACTGTTGTGTGAGCATCCGAGAGCAACATTTCCACTTTATTGGGCTTGCGTTGACTGGCTTAAAGCAAGTGTCCATCCTTTCCCTCCAATCTCAAGTCACAGCCCTCTCCTTTTCTGAGCCCACCGCAAACTAATACTGCTTACACTTCCTCAGACAATGACACATCCATATGGTTCTTAAATACAAGTCTCCAGCAGAACGATGACTGCCACAAGCAGCACACCATGCTTGGCTGCCCTAAGCTCATCTTCTGAACTGCCTGACATCTGGTCTACATTCAGTTGCAGCGTAGACACATACAGGGATCTAGATTCAAGAACATCAAACAAGTTACACAGCAGACTGAACAAGTGTCTAAAGAAAACGAAGTAGTCTAATGATATCTAGAGAAAGTCTGATCTGAGCCTAGAAGCTTCCCCCCAAACTTCTGAGAATTTGGGCCATTTCTCCACCCAGAGACAGGAAAAAGCGTGTCTCTCAACTGCTCACATGACAGCCTGGAAATAGGAGCGGTGTTAAGCAGGATATAATTATATGGTTGGATATCCTGCAGATGACAAGTACAATGTCATATACTCCTGGCACATTTGTAGCATACGACTTCATTCCTGGAGAGCTACTACAGCACTCCCTCCTTTCCCACCCCAAGGACTGACAAACAGAATGATGACTTTTCCCACTTACTCTGTCTGCTCCTTGTGGATGATCCTGAGGAGCTGGGACGGCTTGTTTGTTGCGGTCCAGACTGGGAGAACTGGGGGGCAATAGCTGGCATCTTTCCCTTTCTAGGGCTGGCACTCTGCGCTTCAGGAGTGCGAGGGATCTTGGGTTTGCTGGTGAAGGCTGAGGGAAACTCACTGTAGGAGGAGATGGAAAGGGTCAGCAACGCACGGAGAAATATGTATGCATAGTAAGTCTGCAACCAAGTGAAACCTGCAGTAGCAGTACATGCTGCGACGGCATGACAGGCTGCTCAAAATTCAGGGAGACTGCAAATGGAAAGGAACATGGCACCATAGGTATGCCCTGGGGCATGTACTCACCACACAGCCTCTAAACCTGGCTCTATCGACTGACCCGTCTATCCTACTCAAACCTTGTTCTTTGGACAACAGGATCGAACACGTTCAGTTAAATCCCTTGCAAACAAGTAATAGTTCTTTAACTTGTTTTCCCCATTGTATTTATCACACACAGAGACTCAATCTGAGGTGCAAAAGACCTACAGAAATGCTACAGCACAGGAATACATGCTTTTAGGGCACAGACACTATTATTTCTCCTAGGTATCGGTCACAATCTTGGCAGACACAGGCAGCCTCCCTGGCTCCCAGCTGCGATAAGATTTGCAGAACTCCCTGAAGGCTTTGTCAAAAGAGCAAAAAGCTGTGATGGCATCTATGAAATAAATTCCCTAAGCACACAGGTTACTTGTTCGCACTGAAAACATAAAACAGCTGCTGCTATTTCACAGTCTGCATGTGCTGCAAGTATACCATTTTTTAAAATTTAGTCCATGACTGTGTGAGCATATATCATCCTTCCCTGCGCCCAGCATCAATATATTCTTTCCCAGGTACAAAAATGGAGGCTACCAGGAAATAGCAAGCCTCTAAAATAATTCTGAATCTATATTCATGTTTGCTCTAGCGCGTCAATTTTCTCTTAAAAGGAGAAAAGGTTAAACTGAAACAACAGCTACATGAAAAAGCTCATCGTATTTAAAAAGCAAATAAAAGCAGAGCCAAAGGCAGGACATCGAAAAAGGTGCCACCTAAAGACAAGCGATTAAAACGGAAAGTCCCCGTGTTATTAGCTCCATCAAAAGAACCCTTTGTGACCATCAGAAAGGGTGATTAGGAGGATTTTCAAGACATTTAATCTCCCTTCCTCCCCTGGGAATGTTGCTGAGTCAGTGCTGATTAGCCCTTCCATACCCCTGCTTCACCTTGCAGGAAGATTTGAGCAAGTGTTTCTTTCATATTTCAAACAGCATTAATTGTCGGTATTTTGCATATGTATATGCTAACTATTAAGGACAGAGACATGCTAACTGTTCTGCTAAGAGCCATCTCTGCAGCCCTCTACCTATCTATGAGTATTGTAAGTATTACCCTCGTCTCATTTCAAAGGAGGAGGTGGCAGATGGCAGCAGAAACACACCAGCAAAAAAAAAAAAAAAACCAAACCAAAAAAACAGAAAAGTAAGATTGGCTCGATAAAACCCCAAGCCACGGACCACAGACATAGTTAAACATCTCTCTCCATAAAATAGTCTCATTGTTATTGCTTCTTCGTAATTTTATTCACTGTGGTTCAAGAGCTAGGTTTTCAATTCACTAGTGCCCTTCATGGTGATCTTATGTGTACTATGATATGTTAACGTGGTAAAAAAGGAAGGTCCAACAGCCTCACAGCAGTTTTTGAGCCACAAATGAGCGCTTCCCCCCCCCCCCCCTTTATTCAGCAATAGATAACAAAACCCTGACTCCGTATTCCCATACACTAAAAAGTGTTTTTATAGCCATCAACACTCTTCAGAGTTTCACTGCAGTAACCTAGGGCAGCTGGACTATCAACACTTTGGGGACAGAGCAAAGTAATGCAGCCAGAGTCACTTTCCCAAAGAGACAGATACACAGTGGTCAAACAGGATGGCTCACAACTTTGCAAGCTCTTCAGGAAAGGATTATATGAAATAAGCTGGTAGCAAACACTGTGAAGTTGAAAAAACGCTGCTGATTTTCTGACAGGATGCAGAGCAGATTTTGGTCTCCATATGCCCAGGTGTCACAGAACCACCTCATCTTTTACTACGTCAATAAATAGGCCAAGATCTACAGAAAAGAAGTAATCCTCAGACTAACAGAGAAAACTGCTATTTGGCATCCTTTAGAACTTGATGAGATGAAGAAAGAAGGAGCAAAATCTAGCGTGGGAAAATGTTCCACAGTATTTGGTAAAGGAGTCATTTATGACAAGGTGTGGTAATTTGAGAGCAAGTGCTCCCAACAAAAAACACTTGGCCTTGTAGAACTGCATACCACTGGCGTCGGCCATCGATCCAGCCTGTCCAGATCCCTCTGTAGAGCCATCCTACCCTTAAGCAGATCATCACTCCTGCTCAACTTGGTGTTAGCCAAGGACTGCTGATAATTTTTTTTTTTTTTTTTTTTTTTACAATTTTACAATTGTAAACTCAAGTCTATTACAAATTTATCCTTGATTAGCTGAAACGTACAACACATCTATATTCTTACATGATCAAAATGCAGCAGGAGATAGCAGGGGCAGCTGCCAGTCTGACATGCATCAGCTAGAACAATCATTTGTTCCTGTGGAAATACAGCTGCAATAGACACGCCACGACTAGGGCCTCATTCTTTTCTCAGACTGATTTAGCATAATTTCACTGATCTCTGTGCATTTAAATTCCCAATTTATACCGCTAAGGAAGAGGGGAAACAGCAGTGACTGCTTCATCACCACAACTCAGCCCTCCTTTTCTCATACATATCTTTTCTAGGAAGGTCTTGATATTTGCCTAGTAGGAAGGAGACATCTCTTACAGTGGTCAAAACTATGACCAAAGCAGCGATTTATTCACTGTTTATTTTGCAAACAAATTAAAGTATGCTTCCAAGAATGAAAGAATGAAAAGGCAGGTCTAGCTATTGCAACACCAACACATTAACAAAAGACCCTTGACACAGGAAACGCTGTGTTCGCGTAGACTGTGAATGGCTACATTCCCATATCCGTAACTCGAGGCTGCATTTGTAAATACAGATTACTGTACTCATGCTAAGGAAGCACGCAATGAAAAGATACTATCGTCTTCGGCAGGATGCTGCACCTGTGCCTTGAGTTAGTGATCCATCTATTACTGAGATTTAGACATACATTTATGAAGAAAAATTAAACATTACTGGGGACATGCCTTTTTAATAACAGATTATGACTGTAGAGATGCAAAGCCTCTCACCAAGGTGGAAGGTAAGATGCTGCCAATTTGGCTTGCTTCTTGCAAGCCAAAGCCTGAAAAATAATCTCTCTCTCCATCACAAAGCAAGCAATTTGGCCATAAAATTCTCATTGTCTATTTATATTTGTAGTATGCACTTAGCTACTGTCAGGACAAGCAATAGAAATAAAACGAGTAAAGCTGTGATAGAGGTATGACTACTAAGCACTTCAGCTGCTAACCAGTAATAATTTGTTGACAATATATAATTTCTCAGATCTCACCATGGAAACAGCACAACTGGGAAAAAGACAAAACCAAAATGACACCAACCCCCCCCACCCCGTAAACCACACACAGGCATCTGTAGGCCAGAAGGAAACAAAGGTCTAAGCAGAGAGTCCAATTTTGAGAAGTGCTAGAGCTTTAACTGACACAAATAACTAAGCACTTCTGAAAAATCATATCCATAAAGAGTTGGTAAAACCTTTCCTTTAACACATCTCCACCCATTCTGTGTTTTACTTCTGGAATGTACTTGCTTTTAAAATTTCTCTACACTCAGTGTTTAAAACTTGGCCCAATCAAATTAGCTATAGGAAAAAGCTGTTAATGTCTGAAGGACACATGCGGGCCCTGAAAGACTTCAGTAAACCTTGGTCCAATTGCTAATGAATTCCTAGTTCTCATCCAAGATATAACATCACAGTCCTACATATGACAAAGGCTTCAGAGGGCTAAAGGTATGAACAGCAGAAGGAGAGCAAGATCTTTCACCTTCTTTTGTCAGAAATTATTTCAAGGAGTTGAAACCCATTGATGGGAGAATTCATAGTATTGCCTCGCTTGCTATACCCATCTAGTGGATAAAACAGGGACTCTGGTCAGCAGTGCTAGCAACTCAGCATGTTTAAACACTCTGAATCCACTTAAATGCTTAATTTTTCTTCCTTCTGCAAGTTAATTCCCACCCTGTTCCCACAGTCCTACCTATTTCTTTACTAATATGTGATTTTTCATGGGTTAGAGTCAAGTCACCTAAGGAAGCAATCAGGAAGTTTTATTTGCAGAAGACTGCCTTATGCATACATGTGAAGTTCATTAATAATGTACTGCTTGAGATTTCTCCCATTCTGAACCAGATGCTTAGAAATTGAACAGCTGCCTCTGGCACAGCTAAGGGTATTTTGTTTGGCAAGCACCACCCCAGCTGTCTCAGACCAGACTGCATCATACATCAAATGACTTCACAGATTGTCTTTACAGCAGCATGGAATTAGCTGGTAAGTTCCCTCAGACTCCTCTTGCACTTTTAGATACTCCTCTGGATAAATCATACCTATGCGATTGTCCATTTACTTTGTCCTGGGTGAAGTCAGTAGATCGGGAAGACAAGATATTGTCACCAGCTGGGATGCTTCGGTCCATTCTATGGCTTGATGAGAATATTTCAGATGACTTCATTTCAACTGCTATTTAAAAAAGAAACACAGTTCAGTGAGGAGTTGTTTCTTTACAGTTTTACTAGAAACACAATCAAGTCACGGCTCCTGCTGTATGACGGAAACCTTGAGATGATGGCAGACTACTGAGTTAGTGTGGCGGGTTGCATTACGGTTCATCAGTTGAGCCAAGACAACTGCAAGTATGCACACCGCCAGCCCTTTGCAGTTGGAAAGTAAAACACGCTTGGATTGTTTTCAGAGCAGCTATACTCTGCAGTTGCAATGGGCTAGAAGCGTGCATCAGTTGACATGTATCAGCTGATGACTGATATCTCATTAAAGGCATAGGAATGCAACCATTTGCAGTTGTCTGTACATATCCATAGTAACAGGCAGACTCTGTGGACAAAAACCAGTATTTTACACTTCTGTCAGACTTCAGGTCTATTACATTTGTTCAATATACCTCACTTTCTGCCTTGCACTAACGGAGGAGGGAAGGACAGACAGTTCGCTGACAGAAACAAGGCCACCAAAATGTGCAAATTCAATAAGAGTTTAGGGAAAAATCCCTAGCTCCACTCGTCCCATGCTCAGGACAGGCTGCTGTCCTGGTTTGCTGTCACATTCCGATACGGATGCAGATCACTTTCAGGTCACTTTCAGACAAGCATTTGGCTGCCCAGTGCCTGTTCTGTCTGACATTCAGCATAATACATGTAGCCAGATGACCAGGGTTCATCTTTAGTCCACAAGTTTTCTGCTCAGAGAAGAAAAAAAAAACAACCAACAAAAAAGAGAGCCAGAACTATTGATTCCTTACCAAAGTGATTAAAAGGGAGGATGGACTTAGACAAAATCAGACCCGCTCAAGAACAGCTGAATGAATCCAGGTATGGAGGACATTAAGAACTGCTTTCATTTTTAGAAAACAAAGAGGATCAAGGTTTCTTGAGGCTAAACTTAGCTTCCTTGAGATATGACCTTGATGATGCTAACTGTTCATGTGAAGCTTTTACTCTGTTTTTTCAGTCTTGAGCTCTTACTATTCATTTCATGACTTGACTGCATGAAACTCTGAATCCCAAAGTATTAGTGTGATGCTGGAAAACACATATTCCGAAGTGAGCAGGATCCTGGTACTGCATAATGACCATCACGCCAGGATCAGGACTCAATAAATTGCATATTTATTTCACAGCAAACATGTTTGTCAACGCATGATGAGTCTCTAGAAGCAGTACAATTATTTTTAACACCTTTCTTTTGTGTACTATTCCCTGCCATACCTTAAAAGTCACTAGAAGAGAAAGGGCTTATTTTCCATTATCTTAAATTAAAGCCTTTCCAATGTAAGAATTACTAAATCCACTGCCTTTTGGAAAACATGGGATGTCCAATTATCATTATACAAAATGAAAGTCCTGTCATTGACGTGAACAACCAGGTGATCCAGCAGTGCAGTCTCTCTTTTCTCTTCTCTTAATCCTAATTTCTAAATCCCCAAAGATAAGAAAGACAAGCATGTATTTCACTGGCTACTTGGAAAAACCTGAAATAAACCTCTGGCAATCCTTCAAGCAGCTCAGTGTTGTTTTACAGCCTGGATTAGGGCTAGGAAGAATTGTCTCTGCCACACACAAAAATTATTTGTCTTTTTACATGTATAATGCATATAAGCTTGCAATATGCGATCTATTCTGACCCCCAAGATTTTTCTACAAGAGTGTACAATCTAGTTCTCTTATTAGTATGTACATGTGTATAATTTTGACTGAAAACAGCTAACAAACTGTTTTAGACAGAGGCTACAAGCAAAGGTCTGACAATATGAAATATTAAAGTAGGCAGGAATTTCTTCAGCATGAAGGCTTTAAATCAATATTCTCCATCAAAAAGGAACAACATTTACTTTGCTGACGTACTCAAGTTCCCTGTTTAAATCTCCACAAACCTTTACAAGCAAACTGTCAGGCAACATCAGAAGCACGGAAAAAGTAACAACGTGAGTGGACACATTTCACTGGCAAGATATTATCAAAAGGTGGTTCAGAAGGCACGCTCAGCTCCTGGTGGCTGCATAATGCCCTAGAAATTGCATTTAATTACACTTTAAAACAGCAAATAGGAACACCTTTGATACCTGCTTGGCTTAATTTCCTTTATGGAACATGAATATGTAAAACTTTTTTTTTTTTCTCTCCTTCTACTTAGGAAAACTGTCAAGTCAGTACGCTTTTGATCAGTTTACAACCTCTGCTGTTCTGAGTTGCTGCCCTGGCCAGCCAACCTCCCAGCTACACTCAAGGTGGTACGGCACGAAGTGAGGCTTGAGGACAGCAGCTCGCATTCCTACACAAGTGCCCATCTTGAACAGGAGCTTCATCTGCTTCTATCATATGGCTTCCATTCAGCATGTTATATTTATCAGGTCTGGGCATTACGCAAGCAGATTCCTGTCTGCAAGACCTTTGTTACTTTTCTCAGAATCCTTTTCATTTCCTCTAGGAAATTTAAAAAAAAGAAGAGAGAAAAAAGTATGCTATTCCTTTACTGCTTCAAAGCATATTTTGCAGCAAAGTAAAGGCATGCTTTGTCTGAACTTATTAATAATTCTGTACCGGATATGCTGCAAGATCCTTTATCTAAGACTTCAGAACATTTTGCCTTAAATCCCTAATTGGAAATGTTAACGAATCCCTGCAAGAAGGTTGAAACTCCCACATCTGAAGTTCCATGATCCTGTGGATATCAGTTCAGAAATGAAGTATTTCAGAAGCCTATAATCTTTTAAATTCCATCACATGTTTCTGAGCTCTCAGGTCCAGCTGAGTTTGCATTAATTTCACTTTAAGTTGCAAGGACAGAATCTTTAGCAGCATCACTCACAATGTAGCTATACAGCACAGGGCTTCCCATCCTCCACAGCCTTTTACGGTTTGAATGTAGTTGCAAATCTAAGCAGATAACTGCAGCTGCCTTCAACTGTAATAGAGAGGTCTAGCCAAGAGAGCCTGCAGGTGCCAGCGGACAGTGATTCATTTAGATCCAAACAAGGGTATATTTGATTGAGTAAGGGGCTTTGCCTGTTGGGAAGTGCACTGTCTCTGGGCTGCCCTAGACAGGGGACATCATGGAGTGAAATACAGTATGCCTTGGGTATGATCCATGGCCCTTCCACAGGAAACAAGATGGAGCGAGGCAAGCGAGACCATTGGTCTCTGCTGACCACATATTACCTTTGGTAGCCGTTCATTCAGCTCGAACCAAAATCCAACCACATGCTCCAAGGTCCTGCAGACTGCCCCAGAGGGCCAGTTCCAAGGCTACATTTAAAAAACCCAAACAATCTACAGCACACAAGCTAGGCCCCAAATGCCTGCCCCAGTCAAGAAAGACAGCAAGAGTTAACAACAGCCTTCACAGAAGATCCTTACATGAAGGGGAAATGCAGAGGTCAGAAATGCTGGACCTGCTCCCACCACAAATGGGAAGATGACCACTTGGCAGGGACTGCAGCTTCTCACCCCTATCACGACATGAATTGGTATCGTTTTCCGGCCTGGAGGAGAAAGGAGAATGCAGGGCGATGAATGTTTGCAGTATAAAAAGTTGCATGACAGTAAATTCTAATTCCTTCTAATTGCCTGTAATGACATAGAAGATACTAAAGTTATTTTATATTTCATATTGCAAACTAGTGCTAAGGACGTAATTTAACTGCATGACTGTAGGTCCCCAAACCAGCTGATGTTAGATGTATTTGAAATTAACATTTTTTCCTACTGCAGTAAAAGAGCTGAGCAAAGGAAACCATAACTCCTTGCAGCCTGAAGACACAAAATACCAGCAGGACACTTAAAGACTGTAGCAGTGGGCCTGAGAGGTCTTCAATACTTAGCTTTTTCAAGGATTTAAGATTTGTTCCTGACTATTAAAAGGATTTAGCTTCACAGAGCAATATGTAACACAGACTTAAAACAAAGCAGGTAAGAATTAGAACTGTTGATTTCCAAGTGAGGTGGATCAATGTGAAACTGAAGTAGCTGAAGGACAGAAGAGGGACAAGATTGCTTAGTAATAAGCAGTATAACACAGCAGAAGCAAGAGCAGTGTGAAGTGCATGAAAAGATGGCAGACACAGAAAGATTCCCTACCCAATATCAGGTGAAGGTAACTAGGCTATATTTCTAGTTAGAATGGATGCAGTCCAAGGAGGCAGTTAATGATTTCACAGCTAAATCAGTTTCTAAGGAAACAGCTAGCAGAATATTAAGTAGTTCAATCCCCCTTGAGTGATCTCAGCCGGTGAGTCTTTAAAGAGGAGGGAAAAATAATAAAAAAAAAGAAGTGTGTGTGTGTGTAGAAGTAGCTTTCCAGTATTTCCTGGCTCCCTCAGCTCCATACAGCAGTAGCTTGTCCATATAGAGATCCCATGACAATTCATCTGAAGTAACTAGAGCCTTGTCTGTGCTGGGAAGTCATAGAAAAATTAGCATGGAATAGTCGCTACATGTGCAGTGGCTTTTCCGCATTAATTTTCTGTGTGAATACTCCTATTCAGCACTAGAAACGTCTCCCTCCCCCCTGCCCTTTTGGAGGTATGAACCAACAACTCAAAGAGATATGTTACAGTATCTCCATCAACTGCTTCCTCTTTCACAATGTTTTAAAAACATGTTTTAAAACCGGAATATGTTACATCAAGCCTCACATGAAGAACTTCAAACAAGTTATATTCACTTCAATTCTGAATGCAAGCATTTACACAAATTTGAATGTAGTTTAACTATTCTGCTGAATAAAAAACTTTATATAATAATTCAGTTCAACTGTCCTTGTAGACAAGCTGCATACGAGGCTAAAAAGTCTGACATTTTTCATGCCATTTCATCTGATACAAACACAAGCCATTTAAATAATTTAAAATATGAAATACATCCAGTTCTGATATTGCTTTCAAATTAAGGCAGCTAAGATCTGGTCACTTCCATTGTTTCCCTTTTGCAAGGCTTCCTAAAAGAATACTCCCTCATTTTAGTAAATGAATTCGTACTAAAATTAGAACAGCCTAAAAGCCATCAAAGCTTGTCCTTTTCTGTTGCAAAATCTAGTTTAAAAATGTATTCATCTATTTACTGCAGTTTTCTAGCACACAAATCAATTAGATATAAAATACAAACTTCTCATTCAGGGTGGTATCTCATGCTTCCTACTTAAAACACAGGAGCACCAAATACTCATATTATTTCTACCATTTGGCCAGACCAGGAGGGAGATTAATTTTCACATAATTACCATGTTAGATTACTGCTGATTACATTTTTCCTCTCTAGTTTGTACAGTGAGTCAATCTGTAAAGACTGCTTCATACCATCAAACTAACACTTCTCTCAGACCCAAAGCTTCCAAAACCAGTACAGTAGAAAGGTGTTTTTAATTTGTATCCAGCAGCGACCTGAAGCTGTCTGGTGGAGCCATGAGCTGCGCAGCTGTTCACAAGAAGATTCAGTTTTTGACAAAATACAGGACCAGTGTCACTCCAGTATCCCGGGATACTGTTAAGAAAACATACTACCTGGGTAGATTGTGGTAAAGACAGGCACCAGATCACTTCTAGAGATTATTTCTGATGTATAAACTGCAGCGTGCTACATGGCACCAGGAAATAAAAGCCACTCCCCCGGGTTTGCCACCAATCTGACTTCCCATAGGAAAATCACTTCATTTTCACAAGCTTGTTTTTCTCTCCACTTATAATGTAATGCTTAGATGCTCCAGTGGCAACTAAAATTTATTCTTGAAAAATACTTTCTAACTAGGTTGTAAGGCTACCCTAACAGCCGATTCCACAGTATCAATCCAGGTCACCGTGCCCACCATGGGCAAAACACTGTGCAGGGAAAGTGGGACCTTGAACTTCATAACACTGACCCCACAGTAAAGTCACACTGTATATTTAGTCATGTATTCACCAGTTTAGATTTTTAAGGCCTGCAGTTCTTTTGGAGGACTGCAGGAAAAGGTTTAGATAATCGCTATGCTACTAATATGAGCTTATATTAATTTGTTACTGTTTTCTTCTTACACACAAACGTGCATTTAATATATAGGGAGAGGGCTTGTAAAAGCTGTGGACATTATGATGGTGCAAAAGTCGGCCACTGTGAGAAAGGACACAAAGTAAAAACTCCAAATCTGCATTCTGGCTATACCAGGCAGAAGAAGTAGGTGCCATGCTCAAACAGATGCCATTTTTTTCCAGGCTAGTACTCAAAACAAAAATCAAGACTGTGCAAGACAAATTCTGCCCTGGGATAGCCAAAGGTTCTTTTTCTGCTTTGGAAGCATGTGTTTCATTCATCTTGCAGATGCCTTCCAGGGCTTTTTCCATGCCCAGATCTGGTATGTTACACTTGTCCATTCTGAGGCCCTAGTAACATAATAAATATAATCCGAAATGAATGGGTACAGCTGCAAAAAAGATATATTTGGATGACTCAGGAGGGCTCCCAGTCTGATCACCTGCTTGTATCACTGCTAATGCTAGCACAAGACAGTGGGGGGAATTAACATGGGTTAGATAAAGATGGGACCACTTCCTATCCACAACAATAGACTTATATCAGATTCAACTACACCTGTGTAACTACAGGCTAAAGCAGTCCTCACTGTCTTCTATATGGATCTTCCACACTAAACTGGGGAAGAAGCGTATTTTAAGAAATAGAAAATATGAACACGAAACCAAAGAATGGCAGGGGGGAAGACATGGGACAGTGTTCAGACTTCAGCGCTGATATGCTCTTCTAAGAACCACTTCTTACCTTCTAACTTCATGACACTTGTATTTCAGGTTACCCATTCATTTTCATGCACTTAGCTATACCAATATTGTGACTTTTGAGTACTATTATCTATACTTTGTTAGAGTCACTCGTAGTCTCTCAGCTTAAGTATCTGCAGAAATGAAGACATTAAATCCTCATGATAAACTGCTGCCTGTATCATAGCTACCTGGATTTGATCAAATCCAAATCTGTATGCAAGTGGAAGTATAAAAAAATCATTTAAATTTGAGATCTCATTGGTATTTTGCTTCCTCAGTGAAAAGGAGTCTCACATCAGAAATTAAGATATATTTGTTCAACGGGAGGCACAGCAATTTCAAGGAGATCTAGACTGTAAGATTTCTTTATTTCATTTACAATGCAGCCTCCTACCTCTAACCCCGATCATGTCAAGAACAAGGCATCACAGACCCTCCCACTGGAAAAAGTATTTATTCCAAAGCAGGAATCTGACATATACCAAAGTTTTTGTTTTTCCCATTTTCTTTTTAACCTGTCCTCTTATGGGTGGGTAGCAAATCTCTCCTGAGCAATATAGTTTCTTGCTTATAAAGTGGAAGATCCCAGGTATTTTAGACACTCTATGCAACTTACCAAAAGAATATATTATGAGAAGATGAAAGGACTATGAACATGAAGGATATAATGCAAATTTTAATCACACTGATCAGCAAACATTTACTGAACCATTCCAAGTATGTGACCTCAGCCAATGGACTTTTCTCTGCCTACAATATTCCTCTCTTTTCTTTTTTTAAAATTATCTTTAAGGAATGACAATGGCAATGCACTTTTAGGTAGGGAAGGTTTCTTTATCAGGCATTGTTGGGTGGGGTTTTTTTGTTTTATTTTTTAAAGGAGTTTAAAAAAATCCAACTTGGTCTCATTTTTTTGGACTTACATTAGGTACGTAGTTCTGTGATAACCTGGTGTCACTGGTCTCTGGAGAGGCTCATCTATACTCTGATGGACACCAGGAAACAGCTTCTTCTTGGTTTTTGGAGTATGAGTCATTATCTGATATGCAGGAAATAAAGAAATGGAAAAAAAAAAAAAAGAGAATGCAGTAGAAAGACAGGTAACTGGAGCCATAGAGAAAATTCTGTAAAAACATTGCATCAAAACCGAAACTGCATTCTGGTGTCACTAGATAAAATTCCCTGGAATCACTGACATCTTATCCATAACATCTTATTTCAGGTCACGTTTCCATCACCAGCATTGGTAGACCTATGGACTCCAGGATCCAGAAGGCATACAGTCACATTTATCTCAAATTAGTCACAGCACACTAAATGGCATTCATGCTAACTTTACACTTTTTTACTTAATGGCTTTTTGCTGCTTGAGGTAAGACATACAATACCTGATCTGGCATAATGCCTGCAGGAGCAGTTAACTTTTCAACTTTTTTTTTTTGTTTTTTCCAAAATGATTTCAGACCAGCAGGGTGTTCCAGTATTAACTTGTTCAGCACTTTGCTTTGTGTGCCCACGGAGTCACTGATGTAGCACTAGAACCCTAGGGCTGCCTTTAGCTTATTATTAAGCCACAGCCTGACCACCTCCTGTGAAAGGGTAGCTCAAACTTATTCCGCTTCTTCTGAACGGCAGCTAATAAAAGAGACTGTGAAAGATTTGGACTGCTATGCAGGTAGAACCTGACTCTTCAAGCAACAATTTGAAGGAAAAGAAGACTTTAGAAAGTGACGAAACTGCTAAAATGTAACACTTAATCCAGCAAATTAATTTATTTCAAGATGCTAGTGAGTGGTACTCACTCCCAAGTACTCAGTTGTTAGCAGCTTCTCTCCTGCAAGCTCTCCCAGTTGAGGTTGCAAAACCTCATCTTTGTCCAGATCAGCCTCCATGATGTCATGATCCTCCTGCAACAGCAACACGCATGTTATTTGACCCCAGGTTCCAATAAGTTTTCATTTCAAATTTAGTTCTCAGTTCAGTAGTCATTTGGATGATACATACTTTCCAGATATACAGTTAGTAGTGCACATATAAGTGGTAACGTACAAGCATTTTCTATCAAAGAAGTAGACATCTAAAGACAAACTCACCTAAACTTTTGGTATAACCAGAAACTCAAGAATCCTGTGAGAAGAAAAAAAACCCATCCCTTTTTCCACAGACACTATGCCAAAAAGTACAGTTTGCACTTCAAAAGTCTTTCTCCTTCAGATTTCCAATCCCAAATAATTATTCCTTGTTTGACCTAATAACGGCTTAGGAAAAATCTCAGTCATTAGTATCTTTGTAGAACATCGCAAGCTAGTGTGAAGAGATGCAATGTTCCTCAGCATTGCGATGCTTAAGAAGCAGCTGGTATGAAGTTTGGAGTTTTAGTTTTTACAGATCTGCTGAAGACAATCTAGTCATACAGTACAGACTGAAACAAAAAACCTGACAGCATTTCTCAGCCACTTCTCAGAAAAGGTTACTCTTGTTTAAAAAAAATAAAATACCACAAACCCCAAACTTAAGGTAAGTCAATTCTAAAAACCAAACCAAAAAAACCCCAAACCAACCCACAAGAAAGTTATCATTCAAGTAAAGAGGACGGTAGGAAACTTGACAGAAAACTTGTCTGGATCTTTTTATGATTCAGTATCATCAGCATATAAATTTAAGTTAGACTATAACAACTAGCAGGAAAAATAAAGTAAGCGTGCCTTAAAACAATTCATAGTCCTTCCTGAAGATAATGCTAACATTCCATGAAGTCGAAACTCCCATATGCATATTCAGCACATTCAGAGTACATCCCTTTATCTTGACAAAAACACTGAAGTAATTTATTGCTGTGTATTCTCCAAGAAGGAAAAAAAACCCAAAACATTTTATTACTCATCTACAAGAAAGAGAGGCATAATTTTTAATCAGTCAAGACAAAACAAAAAAATTAAAAACATCTTTATT